ACCTGGGCAAATACACATATACACAAAACACACACTTACATATACACATAAATACACACACATTATCACACAAATACACACATAATTACATACACACACATACACATACAAATACACACCACTCACACTCACAAAACCCACACATACACAAACACACATATACCGAACACCAACATAAACTTACATACCACACATATATACACATGCACACATTAAGTCACTCAACATGTAACAACTGGGGAGCAAAGAGAAGAAATGAAACCTGAAATTCTTTGTTAAAAACAGTATTTAGATACAGCTTGCAGTCTCCTTGTCCGATTCTTAAAAATCACCAAAGTAAAATTCAATTTAGACATGATCCCAAGTCGCTGATGCTGAGAGACTTTTTTTTCCGTCTTAGCTCCACTCCTCCTTATAAGGACACTGAGTCCTAAACAAACAACGAGGGCAGAATGAAATACATCTCTGTTTATTTGGACATGGAGGAAAGCTATAAGGTCAAACCACTATATTCCTTTCCTTGGTAAGACTTGGCCTTAGAAAGGAGAGAATTGGCTCTCGATAGAAATTCTACTGTGTGCTGCACACATAAGGAGATGCAGCCTCCCTTCCTTAACCCAGTTGTTTATCACCTACAGAAAGGGAGTCTAGTTCTTTAACACACTGTATAATTAAGGTTGTGTGTGTGTGTGTGTGTGTGTGTGTATACAGTAATACACAAAGGCAAATAAAACATTTACAACCTTTAAGCTCACTTTACTGTCTTCAAAAGCCTAAATTGTAGTATATTTTGCTTATATTCTATTAAGAAAAAGTGTAAAACTGTCCATTTCAGTGAGTAAGCCAAGCTCACAGTCACATTTCTGACATCTATATCTGAATTATATTCGAATAACAGTTATTTAAAAAAAAAGACTGTAGCCATTGGCAAATGTATTCACATTATACATTCTAATGTGTGTTTACTCCATCTCCCTCTCACTTCCTCTCAGAGACACTACTTTTTAACCACTTGCTCTAATTTCAGAATATATACATATACATACTTACATATGCACTTAAAGTAACGATTTTGATTTCTCCTTAAATAACGGTGTTTTAAGAAGAAAAATAAGCTCATTTATGTTCACATGCATTCTAACAGCATTTTGTTATTTTTCAGGTTTAGAAACTTCTTGATAATTTTGCTCCTTTCACAGTGAAAAGCAAAGCATTCTGTCACCAAAGCAGGGAGGATGAGTCGCAGGTCAAAGGGCACCTGAGAAACAAACACCAGGGCCAGTTTATTTAAACAGATAGTGGGACAAGGGAGCTGACCTCAGTTTGACTTATAGTGGGAGGAGCAAGAATGCTGTTTTATTGCTCTGCCCAGAAGGAAAATGTTTTTGTATCTGAATTCACCCCTGAAGCCTGTATGCAGCTAATTCCAAAAGGAGGGTTTAGGTGGAAAAGTCCTGAGGTCCCCTGTGATACTGAGTTCTAAAATCATGCACACAGAAATGAAGTATCATTTTAGAAAATGAAATACTTTCCTGTTTAACTAGTTACTTTTAGGTAACCATGACCTTAACCCATGATGCAAATTGTACATAATACAGATTACAATTTAATAATGTTCCAAGAATTTACTGTGTCCCAAATATATTGATAATATTTTATTTTATTGAACTGTTTTTACAGACGAGATTGGGTGCATTCAGGGTGGTATGGCCGTAGACGAACTGTTTTTAAATGATAGCTTTCCGAAAGAGGAAGTCGGGTTGAAGGTGTAGGTCAGTTGGTAGAGTGCCTGCCCAACGTGTACTAGGCCCTGAGTTAAGTCTCATAAGCCTCAAAGGCTGGGCATAGTTAAAAATGCCTGTAATATCAGCATTCTGAATTTCAAGGTCATCCTCCTGAGCTATCTAGCAAGTTTGAGGCCAGCAAGGGCTCCATGGAACCCTGCCTTAAGGCAAGCAAGAAAGCTTTATGCAGACCTAGTAACATATCTGTGCAATTCAAAGTGGTTGAGGTTTTTTTTTTTTAATTCCCAGTGTTTCTGTTTGATATTGTTTTTAATGACAAGGCTCTCATCCTGGTGTCCATGTAAACTATGAGTCTCTTAAATCTGCAAATCAATTAAAAACAGTTATCATCAATACCAAACGACGTAAATAATATCTAGTACTTATGGGTGATGAGTTAAGGGGATGTGGTAATAAGTTTGTCCTTTACTTGAGGACCAGAACAGGCCTCAAATAAATGTGACCAGTATATCTCTGCAAACCTCCAGAGAGATAGTCTCAGCCAACTGAATAGAGGCTCGAGTGATAACAGGCTCAAAATATGAGAGGGACTTACATCTAGAAAGAAAACCTTTGAAGAACCGTGGATGTTTAACCCAGGGAAAAAAGAAAGAAACCTAGAGGATATGATGGCTGTGTTCAAATATTGAGTAAAATTGTTTAAATTGTCCAGGAAAGCTATAATTTTAGATGGAGAATGGGACCTTTCGGCAGCTCACTTTACTCAAAGACGGACTCCTAGGGAAGATGGTTAGTGCTGTGTTGGCTTCCAGTAGAGGCTATGCATTGATTTGGTGGGATATTATAGAGATCCATGTTAATGGCCAAGCTAAGTAATGAAGCACTTCCTAAAGTTGATTTACAGTTTTTGGTGCCACAGGCTGAATAATCATGAGTTGGTGACCTGGTCTGGTTAGTTTGTGTTGGTCTTTGGGAGCATACGTGATTGAGTGTAGAGGAGGCCAATGTTGGAATATAGAAAAACTGAGTCACAGAATTTTTTTTTTTTTTGAGCAGCCTCCTCTTTATGTACCCAAGCAGGGCGGCCATAGGCATTCTTCATCTTCCAGGTGTTCATTGTCATGCTTACTCCTCGTGTGAAGCTAAGTGTGGCACACCAATGGCTGCTGTAGTCCCAGCATTAGAAAGGAAGGTAGCCATGACTGTTCCCTAGTTTTGTGTCATCAGCAAAGTCTTAGCATCTCTTTAGTAGCACATGGCCTGTAATAAGTCATCAATTTCTTTGAGCCTTGTTAAAAATTGTTCTCATTGTGCACACCTTTAATCTCAGCACTCGAGGGGGGGTGGGGGACAAAGGCAGGTGGATGGATCTCTTGTGAGTTCTAAACCAGTCCGGTCTATAGAGTGAGCCAAGACAGCCAGGGCTACACAGAGAAACCCTGTCTCAGAGAATCAACTCAAAACAACAACAAAAATCGCTCTCCGTACTCATAAAATGTCTTTACAAAGAGTTTCTCCTTTGTCAGTGGAGATTATGAACAGTAGCATGCATAAAGAACTACACAGATGGAGGATTCTATGGCTGCCCAGCTTGGGTAGGTAAAGACGAGACTGCTCTCTTACCTATAAGTTACTATGAAAATTAATTTTGGTATATGCAGAATATTAATATTAAATAATTTTCTAATTGGTCATGCAGTGCAGGCAGCTAATGAAAAGGCAAATTTTTCCCCCATTTTAATTGGTTATTTCGCATGGTGTTTGTGCTACACCTGTGCTTATAATGAGAACGGAGAATTAATCTAACCTTCTGCTCACATGATTCCAATTTTCATGGCTTATATAAGATAACGATAACCTGATTTGCCACACTATTTGTTGTAGATCTTGTGTTTTAAATATTTGTATTAATAGCTCAGGGACTTCTTAGGTAAAAACTGAAACAGTTTACGTAGCCTCTACAGGAATGCACCCAAACTGCACCTTTTAGTCAGAATCTACTTCCGTCATTTACTTTAACTGCTTCTCAGAAGGGACACAAGCAGGTACAGATTATTGAGAATATTAAAATGTCGTGAAGTATGTATTTTTATTTTAAAGACATAGTCTTGACTGTTTAATGGTTTGGAGTTCCAGAACTGCTTTCTTTGCTCAAATAGACAGAAGTACAAACTAAAATTTATATCACACTATAAACTCTTCAATTATTAATAGGGTAATAAATACGGTAAAAATTAAACTTTTTATCGTATTTTTGATGTCCTGCTCAGAGTTGTGTTGGGAATTAAAGGTAATCCAACACATACTCTGTATTTTCTGGATTTGGCAAGCAATTCTTATAACCCAGGACGAAGAGCTTAAGAGTTAGAGTCTTGTGGAGATGGTTTCAGAGTTAACAGAGGTTTTTTGTTTTGTTTTGTTTTTGTTTTATTTCAGCGACTTAACATTTTTGGAGGAGCTATAAAAAAGACTTGGACCAAACAATCTTTTAAATAAATGTAGAATGTATCTTATTAAATATCTTAATAAGATGTTTTACAAATTTTCAGTAGTAGCGGAAGAAAGCAAAATTATAAATTCAGTGGCTGCATAGATGTGACCTTGTTTTGACTTCGAATTTTGCATAAAGAGAAAAAAAAGTCACCCCAAGAAATCTCTCCAAGGAATGCATTTCTTTAAAGTCCCTAGAAGTGTGAGTTAATAGTGATAAACTCCAGACAGTCTTTCAATTGATGGTGAGCTGCCAACTCGGTTCGTTATCTTAGGGGTGGACACAAGGATGAAACTAGGTTTGCAAAGGTAGGGGAGGTTTGGATAAAAACACACTGCTGTGAAAAAGAACTCAGAAAGTGTACGATTGAAATGTCGGTAATTGGGAGGGAGCAGATGTCCTCAGAGCTTCTCCTCTGTGTCTCCTCCGACTCCCACCCTGCCCTTTGAAAAGAGTGGTGGCTAGCATTGTTTCCTGAAAACTCTGCTAATTCCCCCATGAAAAGATGAAATGGAAGTGTCCAACTGTGGTAAAACAGGCAAACATAAATCAACTCAGAAACCCAAGCCTTGTACTCAAAGGTCATGGGGTTATAGGTTTTGCCGCATGCGAGGCTGTCCAGGAGGGAGAGAAAGGAGGCTGGCGGAGCTTGCTGAGGCTCGTCTCTTCTTACTGTGGTTCATCTCTTCCTCTACCTTTTGTTTATGATTTTATGCAATAATGATTTTATGTTTATGTTTTATGCTTTCCTTTCTTGGTTACAGGTTTATTAATGCCCGGAGAAGAATAGTGCAGCCCATGATAGACCAGTCCAACCGAGCAGGCAAGTCCCCTCTAGTGACTGTATTCAAGTCAGGCAAGCGAAAAACATCCTCAAGCCATTCACCAGGAGGGCTGCTGCCTGGTAAATGAACTGGGAGTGAGTACTAAGAGTGTTTGGCTTTGGAAATTAAACCAGTTTGGTTTCATAACAACACTAATCAATTTAACATTGTTATAAAACATTTGAAGAAAGTAGAGAATAAAAAGCCAACGGAGAAATGTAACTCTTAAATCACTTGCAATCTTCTTTGTAAACATTCAATATATTAATGTTATTTTTTTCCTCCCCGAGTTTGCCTACCCAGCTTTCTGCCACTATGACCACTCCCTGGTGCATGGCTTGGTGTGGAATTGCTGTAAACTTTATTACCTGTCAGAAGGGCAAAGGGGTCGGGATCACTTGTGGGACTCAGTAAAGTTCAAAGGCGTTCAGTGAGGTAGAGCTTTTGTGTGCTTTAATAACCCAAGGCAGCTCACTTCTGAAACAGCTTTTCATGTACAGTTAAAACACGGGATTCCGTTAGTGATATAAATACACAACTCTTATTCTCATGACCTCCCTCATTAGTATCTGTCTCCTGGTGCTCGAAATTTTAAAAAACACCTTTTTTTGTTTGTTTGGTTTTCAGTCATGGGCCATAGGATTTCTTTTGTATTATGACATGGTAGCACAGGCAGCAGGCAAATATACCAGGGAGGATGTGGGTTGGAGCGGTGCCTCTGAGATACCTCTTGGCTCTCAGCTCCATCAAAAGCTCTGCTAGCATCACACTGGGTCCATACCCAGTTAGTCATGTTCCAGCACCTTCTTTTCTTAAAGTGTCCAGTATGGGACTAACTACCAGACAAAACCCCCAGCATAAATTTTGTGTCTAGCCTGTTCCTTGAACATAGCACTTGAAACTCTAGCCACCAAGGTATATAGAACTGGTCTGAGAGAATTAACTTTTTGGTTAAAAAAAAACAAAAACAAAAAACAAAAAAACCAAAAACCAAACCAAACCAAACCAAAACAAAACATGTAATCTGCTTAGTATGTTCTCTGTGTCCCCTCCCCTTTCCTACCCCCTTCTTCTCCCCTGTTATTAAGAAGCTGTGCTGTGTCCTTTTGTAGTCAGCCAAGGGACACCTTATAACCCTGATGGCCAGCCAATGGGAGGTTTTGTAATGGACGGTCAGCAGCACATGGGCATCAGAGCGCCAGGTAAGACTCTTTTTTGTATGGTACTTTTTCATGTTTAACTTCAGAAGTGTCACCCTCCCTGAGTTCCTGTCAGTGCAGGTAAAGAAGCCCACCCTCTGCTTTCTCAAGCTGCCTGCCTCGCCTTGCCTACCATCTATGCATCTAAGATACTGCAAAGGGGAAGCCAGGACCTTTATGTGTGCAAGATCTCACTGCCTCTCAGCCACCTAGAACCTGTGTGTTTTTTTTAAAGGGTCTTTTGGCACTATCTGTTAACTTTGCTCATCTTCTGGCTTCTTCTTGGATTTTTATCTCCCTTCTAGGACCTATGAGTGGAATGGGCATGAATATGGGCATGGAGGGGCAGTGGCACTACATGTAACCTTCATCTAGTTAACCAATCGAAAGCCAGGGGGAAGTAAGTACAAACGGGGCCTTTGTCTTCACTTTGTCCTAGGAACATTCTCCTTCTGCATTCTCTCATGTTCTCCTTGCCCATAGCTTCATGCTTGGTTCTTCTTTTCCATTAAAGCCTTATTTCTTGCTTCTTTCATTTTTTTTTCTCCTCGTTGGTTTTGATCAAGGTTTTAGGCTGATAAATTCTGTGTATGATATACATTTATCCTGTGTGTTGCTATTGTACAGTACTGACCACATGACAAAACAAGAAACAGTCAGGAGGTTGGGGGGAGTGGGTTGTCATAGCAACAGACTGATTTGCAAAATGTAAGCAGTCTGCAGCAGTGCAAGGAGAGGAAAGAGCATGTCCCCAAAGTGCCATAAATCTGTCTAACCGCAGTTGATGCATGAGTTACATTTCTACACTAACCTGCAAGACACCAAAAAGCCAAACAGAGAACTTCTTTTAGGTAAAATAAACACAGCTTTACTTAGGGTAAGTAAAGGCATATTTTGAGTTTCAGTCAACTAAACTTTGATTTTTTTTTCCCTTAGTTTGTTCCTTTGTCTGTCCATCATAATGGGATTACGTGTGGCAATGGAAAAAGGGAGAATACAAAATAGAGGTGTGCACAGCAGGCTTCAGGGCTTAGCCCGGGCTAATTGACTATATCCAAATTAAGTATGCCATCACTTGCAGTGTGACAAATGGATTTGACTTATTCAGTATACAAAAATAGAGATCATTAATGCAATCTTCAGTGGCAGGCCTAGTGAAGTGAGCCTAGGAAAACTGTCCCAGATTCTCACTCTGTCATTTTCTCTCCTAAAAAGACACCCCAGAAATTTGAGTTCAAACAAGCAAGGCTGTTTTGAACTCCAAAGCCCTAGTTCATTTCCTAAGTTGCCCCTAACAGCATCTCTCTAGCATTCCTTTTTGAAATTAAAAGCCATGATTTCAGAGTCTTGGATGTGCCCCTGATTATATTAACACACTATTTAAAATTCTTGCTAAGGCCAAGGGTAACACATGCTGGTCTTCTTCTGTGGGTGGGAGTCCAATATAAGTTTAACAATTCACTCTGAAAGCATTCCATTGAGCTTGGAAATCAACAGTCTTATTACCTCATCATGGAATTCTCTAGCTTAGTTAATTTAAATATTGTTTCTTAGTTTCTGGGTCAATTAAATTTAAATGATGTATTTTATGCTTCGTGACCAATTAAATTAATAGGTTATTACAAAAAATATTATCATCTTTTTTGATTAAAGAGCTGTGGGTACAGTATATTTTATAAGCAATTTTCATTAGTTTAAAAATGTTCCTTTAGGCTAGATTAAGCAGCCATTCATTGCCAGAGCCTGGAGACCTTATTCGAAGGTGTTCATCGTATTCACAGTGCGCTATTACTTAGAACTAAAGCCAATTGAACATACTTAGCAATGGCGTTATGCCTTTCACCCTTGATGATGATGGAGCTTATGGCTCTCAGAAACAATACACCCGTCACTTTCCATCAACTAGAGCAATCCATGCAGAAGACAAGAGGCCCCCTCAAAGCAAGAGGAGTATTGTTTTAGGTCCAATTTTTCTTATTGTTCTCAAAATCATTGTAAGGTAGACAGAGTTCTGTGAAGCTTTTCTTTTCTTCCAGCTCTAAGAGGCCATGTGGAAGGAATTTATTGATAACTGTTTTGATTTCCTCCCCACCCCAAAGGTACAGGATTTGCTAAGTAATCACTGTTAGTGAGCTTGCCTAGTTCTGCTTAGTGTGAAATGTTCAGTGACATAGAGCAGTGTACATGTATAGCATATTTCAGGGAATGAAAATGCTTCTTTAGATCAGAACCCAACGGTTTGGGTTTTTTGCTTAAAACTAGACTTGGTAGAAGGACTGGTCTGATGGCTCTGGAAGGGAAACAGTGGCCAGTTCTGATTCGAGCCTGACATCTCCTTTTATTTTCTTCCACATGAATCAAAATAATGTCTCACAAGGCCCCATTCTGCCCTTCATCACAATGTTCCCTGGCTTTCATAGGATTGCCATAGTCAGAACCACACTGTTGCCTTTCCATAATTTTTTGTTTTTTTGTTTCTTTCTTTTGAATTTCTACAGGGCTGCAAAGTATGCCAGGGGAGTATGTAGCCCGGGGTGGTCCAATGGGTGTGAGTATGGGACAGCCGAGTTATACCCAAGCCCAGATGCCCCCCCATCCTGCTCAGCTGCGTCATGGGCCCCCCATGCATACGTACATTCCTGGACACCCTCACCACCCCGCAGTGATGATGCATGGAGGACAGCCCCACCCTGGAATGCCAATGTCAGCGTCAAGCCCCTCGGTTCTTAACACAGGAGACCCGACAATGAGTGGACAAGTCATGGACATTCATGCTCAGTAGCTTAAGGGAATATGCATTGTCTGCAATGGTGACTGATCTCGAATCATGTCTTTTTCTGCAATGACTATGGAGTTCCATTCTTGACATCTGCTTTGGACCAAGGAGCATCCCTAATTCTTCATAGGGACTCTTAAAATGCAGGAAAACCAACCGAAGTCAATTTGGGGGACATGCAAAAATAACTATTATAAGACATTAAAGAACAAAGAGTGAAATATTGTAAATGCTATTATACTGTTATCCATATTACGTTGTTTCTTAGAGATTTTTTAAAAAAAATGTGAAATTTTTCCACACTATGTGTGTTGTTTCCATAGCTGTTCACTTCCTCCAGAAGCCTCCTTACATTAAAAAGCCTTACAGTTATCCTGCAAGGGACAGGAAGGTCTGATTCGCAGGATTTTTAGAGCATTAAAATAACTATCAGGCAGAAGAATCTTTCTTCTTGCCTAGGATTTCAGCCATGTGCTCTCGCGCTCTCTCATATTCTCTCTCTCTCTCTCTCTCTCTCTCTCTCTCTCTCTCTCTCTCTCTCCCTCTCCCTCTCTCTAGCCTGGGGCTTGAATTTGCATGTCTAATTCATTTACTCACCATATTTGAATTGGCCTGAACAGATGTAAATCGGGAAGGATGGGAAAAACTGCAGTCACCAACAATGATTAATCAGCTGTTGCAGGCAGTGTCTTAAGGAGACTGGTAGGAGGAGGCATGGAAACCCAAAGGCCGTGTGTTTAGAAGCCTAACTGTCACATCAAGCATCATCGTCCCCATGCGACAACAACCATCACCTTATACATCACTTCCTGTTTTATGCAGCTCAAAAACATAGACTGAAGATTTATTTTTAATATGTTGACTTTGTTTCTCAGCAAAGCATTGGTCATGTGTGTATTTTTCCATAGTCCCACCTTGGAGCATTTATGTAGACATTGTAAATAAATTTTGTGCAAAAAGGACTGGAAAGATGAACTGTATTATTGGAAATTTTTTTTTGTAAAAGTAGCAGATTAGTGAGGTGGCATGCGTACAAGGCTTACTAAGTGGGACACGCTAATTATACTTTTTGTTGTGGATAAACAAATGCTTGTCAATAGTCTTTTTCTATCAAGAAACCAAGGAGCTAATTATTAATAATAGTCATGGCACACTGTGTCTTAGCCTTCTGATGGAGTTTGAATGTGTATGAAAACTCCAAGCCAGTTTTAGTCACTGAGTGCAGTAATGAAGTCAGACTCCAGAATAAAAAGATTATTTTTGTCATTCTGACTTTACTGCTTGCAAAATGTGCTCCTCAAATTTTTAATGATTACTACAGTATTTTTAATGATAACAACCATTAGCTCTCCAGGCTATTTGTATTTGAAAATTGTCACACTGAGTAAATTATTTAACAGTGACCACTGGTTTAAGATGACTTAATGAACTGGTAATATTAACAAAATTAAGGGTTAAAGTCACTAAACTAGCTGCAGCTTCAGACTTCATTCAGTATTAGGCACTATCAGTGAAATTATGCTTTTCTACTGTGGCAGAGCCCACAGTCAGCCTTTCACTAAGGATATTATCTAGGACAAGCAGTACATGTTTATTAAGAAATTAACTATATAAAATTGAAGAGACCAGACTTCAAAATCTAATTTTTATAAATATGCTCTACGTTCTCATTGGATAAAACTGGTTATTAACCAATTTTCCAGAACAGCTGTACAGAATTTCTGCATGGCAGCCAGCTAAATGGTTCAAAATAACATGTTTAAGCTGCAATAGCTTATAATTTCACTTAAATAAAATCGCTGCTCTAAAAAATGCTTCACAAAGCTAAGGGAAATATACAAATATTTTAATTAAGGCAAATTAATTTTTTAAGAAAACAGCCTTTTAGTTGCTTTGGAAACAAAGGATGGGTCAGAAGCCTTAAACTCCAGTCTGACATCTAGGGCCCTGTCACCTTAAAAACTGCCCACAGCAATCCTGTTTTCTATTTGAAAAGAGAAACCAGCTGTGGGCTGGCTCTACTCCTTAATGGTGAGTCACTGCCTCACCTGCTGGAGCAGCCTGTGCACTCTCACCTTTTGTTTATGGGGCCTTGTTTCTGAACACGTGGATGCGCGGTGCGGAGGGGGGGCGGGGAAGGGGGGAGGAGGAGGAGGAGGAGGAGGAGGAGGAGGAGGAGGAGGAGGAGGAGAAGGAGGAGAGAGAGAAAGAGAGAGAGAGAGAGAGAGAGAGAGAGAGAGAGAGAGAGAGAGAGAGAGAGAGACAGAGCGAGAGCAGCCTGGTCCCATCGCTGCCACCCACCTCTCGACCCCACCCCCAAAGATGGGACTGTTTAACTTTCCCATTTTGGCCCGAAACAGTTCTATGACTGCATAAGTGTCCATATTAGAGAAATCATTTTCTTTGATGGGTGGTTAGTAGCAGTTAACAACCATTTATTTACTTCTAAAAATAATAATAAACTTTATAAACTAACAGTCATTTTTACTTCTGCCTCCCCAGTACATGCCCGGTGAGTCAGCCTTTATTCTCCTGGAGGCTCAAGCCTAGTCGGGGTAGGAGGGGGCGGGGTGGGGAGAAAGCCGGGGAGGGAGGAGGAGGGAAAAAGGAGAGGACAGTGAAGAAAAAGAGGGAGAGGTTGTGGGGGTTGGGGGGGTAGAAGAGTGAGCGCACGCAAAGGGGGGCTGGGGAATGTGGTGATTAAAAAAATCATGATCATTAATGACTAGGAATTAGAAAAAAAAATAAAACAAGCTTTTGTGCCGTGGTTTCCCCCTTCGGAGTGAGGATTGTGTGAGCCTTGCTCCTCAGGTCTCTCTGTTCCTGCCCCTGACACCCTCCCGCTTGATTCTGTTTTAGCTTTTCCTCTTGTAAATTTCAGAGCCAGCTTTGAGGTTATTGACGACACTTCTCGGAAGGAGGGAAATAATAGAGGTGTGGAGAGTGTTTTTGATGTTTCTTAAAGGACAAAAACAAAACGCCCTCCCCTAAACAGGGCACACGAATTGTACGGGCTTTTGGGGGGGGGGGTGTGGGAGTCCGCTGGCTGAATTAGACTAGTACGACTAAGTATTTTTTTTTCAAAAAAAAATTAAAAATGTTACCCGATCATATTTAATCAAATGTAATTATAACACATTCAAAATGAATAATATGCTTTGGCAGTATTTTTATTGTTATTGTTCATTGCACGATGTTCGACTGCTTTAGAAGCACAGGAAAGAAGCAAACGCGCTACAAATGGGGAATTACCCTCGTTTAGCATTAAAATTCATTTAGATAAAATTGCCACAAACATTTAAATGGGAAGATTAGTTCCCCCTCACGCCTTATTGCACTCGCTCAATGGTTCCGTTAAGAACATTTTACACGTTGGAAATTCCGTCTTCTCAGACGGCTTGCTGTTTCCTAGTTACACACATTCAAAGCAAAGGCTGCAGCCGCGGCAGCCGCAGCAGCGGCAGCAGGGGGAAAAAAGTTTGGCAACTGGTCTGCAATTCATCCGCTGCGTCCCCAGTCTCCCCCTCCGCCCCCCCCCGGGGGGGCCCTCCCATTAACACCCCCCCCCCGACACACACACATTTATGCGTTCGAAGAGCCCGGCCTCTTCGAACCAACGTTGGTTGTACAATATTGACAATATTAAACTACAAAGAAATGGAAAGAAGCCGGTGGGTCCCTCTCTGCGTCTTCTGCTTTTGTACGAGGCTGAGGGTTGAGTGCAAATGTGCCGAGCCGCCCGCACCCCGACCCCAGGGCCGCCCGGCGCGCCGCTGTGGCCCGAGACGTCTCTAGGAAATTCGCCACTGCTCTCGCTCGCGCGGTGGTGGAAACGTGTTAAAGGCTCAGCTTGCAAAGTCCTGGCACCGTCCAGTCCCTCCCGGCCCTCTTCTCGCCCCACCCCTCCCCCGCCGCTCCCCCCCCCCACCTCCCCAGCCCCCCACCCCTGTCCTTTCTTTTGAGCCGCAGGAAAAGAGGAAAGTCGGCTTCGACTGCCACCTTTTGGGGATTTGGAAAAACGACGCGGTAGGAGACCGGAGGGAGGCGGAGCGCGGCTGTCTGTATGGCGGGGAGGGGGGGTGGTGCGGGGGGGGGAGAAAACCCCCCTTATGATCATACGTCGGAACTGGCGCCCTTAATCTGATGCTTAAATATTTGATGTGGAAAAATTACCCATAAAATTAGTTACTAACAATTTCAAATTGAAATCACTTATCGAATTATAAGCGCATTAAAACTGTATGGATGGTATTAGGAGTTCCTTTGGAGGCTGTCTCCTCTCGGGGAACTGGGCCCGCGAGTTTTGCCACTGGGAGAGGTGTGGTAGGTGGAGCCCTGGGGAGGGCAAGCGACGCTGACGACAGTAAGGGTGCCCGGGTCCTTGCGGGCCTGGAGAAGATGGATCTGGGTGCTGGAATAGCATTCCGAGCAGAAGCTCATACTGAGAACTCCGGGGACAAAGTCCAAACCTTGGGAAAGGGGAAACTGCTCCCCTAACGCTGAGATTCTGAGCCTTCGGTGATGCTTCCAGCTCCCTCTGTGTAGGCGGGGAACTGAGAGGCGTTGTGAGAGTCCGGGCAGGACCGGGCTCCGAGCCTCTGATGAGACCCGCGGCCCGCTCACCCAGCTCCAGCCACCACTCAGACTCCCTTTAGTTTCCCCACGCACGACGTCGGGGCTGGGTCTGATACGTGGGCGAGTGGATCTCAGTCGCGAGCCCACACTACTCCGGGGTACTCTGGGTCTGCAGAAGAGTCCTATGCTCCCCCCTCCCACCCCCACCATCTGAAAGTCAAAGTTAAGTATTAACTGTCTCAGGAGTCTGGGTGTCCATGGGTTAGCGCAAAAGCGTGTGCAAAGACTTCTTCGTTTCACTCTGGGTCCCTTCCCTTGGAACCTCTCAGAGTGGTATGTCGTTGCCTGTTTGCTTCCTTTGGACTTTTCCAGTTGGAGCTCCGGCTTTCGAATCCCAGGGCGCTCATGGGAGCGTGACGCTGAGAGCCTGGGGACTGGAGGCTGCATTGAACAGTCAGGCTAGGCAGGAGGGTGGGGTTCCAGAGCATATAGCACCCCAACAGTATAGAGCAGAATAGGATCACAGTGTGTTGGGCAGAAACTTCCTCGGGTTTCTTTAAAAGCCCTAGAAACTTTCCCCACTTTGGATCCCGCAGGCCCTCGGCCCTTGGGAAGGCAGTTAAAACAGGAATTGGTGATGTAAGCCCCCAACGGGTGTTTGGACTGTGAGCAAAGAGGTATGGGTTTGAGTGTGGGGCGCCCAGTCTGGTTCGGCATCTTTCCTAGTCTCTTCTGTGCTACCCTGCACCCACTGGCCGTTTGGCGAACCATATCACCAAGGGTAGGAGCAGAGGCTAAGAGTCCTCTGGGTGGGGGGAAAGAGCTGGGCGGGAGAGTTGGGGGTATTTCGGGAAGGCCGAAGCCAGTGAATAATGGGAAGGGGAGGGTTCTCTTTTACATCGAACCAGCCCTCCCCCCAAACGTTTAAAACATTCTCTTCCAAGGCGGAGCTGAAAGGAAAACACAAAACAATATATAATCGCTAGACGTTTACGTCTTTGCCCTAAAAATGGTACTCTAGGATTTTGATAGGGAGGCACTTTTAGGGGCTTGGTTTAGCTGGCCGAGAAGTGAGTCTTGTACTACCCACGCGCTCAGTCCACCTCAGGGAATTCCGACTCTAAAACTCTGGATTTAGTTTTAAGCCAATCTTCCTTTGATCAGATGTATAATTCCTACCCCTGACCACCCGCGCTCGCACTCACCCCCAAAGCACTGTGTTCATTATGACCAGTGACTTTAATCTCTGGGCAGAAAACTAGCCCCAGGACCTAGCCCATTAGGAAAGCAGAGAGTAAGAGTCACCTGCTTCATACACCCACGGGTTCCGATCCTCTCCCCGGCGTCATTTTTGTGGCTTGCCACCCTAGTTTTAGGCAGAGTGTGCCGGACAGAGGTCA